TAAGTGAAATAAACCAGGCACAGAAAGACAAATACCACATTTCTTCATTCATGTATGGAAGCTAAATAAACAGAATCTTATAGAAGTACACAGTAGAATGGTGTTTACTAGAGGCTGGGAAGGATTGGGGGGGAGAACTTGGAGAGGTTGGGTAATGGATACAAAATTACAGCTAGATAGAAGGAATGAGTTCTGGTGTTCTACAGCACTGCAGGGTGGTTAATAATAATTGATTGTACATTTTCACATAACTAAAAAAAGAGGATTTTGAAATGTTCCCAACACAAAGAAATGATAAATAATTTAGAAGATGGATATGCTAATAACTCTGATTTGATCACTACACATTGTATATATGTATCTGATCACACTGTACCCCATAAACGTATACAATTATGATATGTCAATTGAAAACATTTTTTAAAAGTTGAAATTTATATGGAAAAGCAAAAGCAACAGAATAACCCCAATAATTTTGAAGAGAAGAACTAAGGTGGAGAAGTTTACCTCTGTAAAAGCTGGACAAATTAAAAAGCTATACAAAAGCCTAAGAACATATCAAATACTAAAATGCTTTTTAAGTCTTAGAGTAGAGGTCTCCAAAGCAAAAGTCCAAAGGCTATAATGAAAAGAGTGACAAATTTTACTAAATAAAAATTAAAATCTTTCATTCAATGAGACATCAAAAAGAAAGCTAAATAACAAATAACAGACTGAGAAAATATTCACATTTTGAACAAAGGAATAACATCCAGAATAAATCAAAAGTCAATTAAGAAAAAAAATGTAAAAATGGCCAAAGAATCAGAATAAAAAATAGAAATTCAAATAAATAAAAATGGACACAAACATATTAAAAAGAAGGTCAAGCTCATTGTTAATTAGGGAAATGAAAATTAAAACGGTGAGAAAGATCAGCAAAAACTCTCAAGTCTGATAATATCCTATGTTGGCAAGGACGTGGGGATATGAATAGCTACATATGTTCTCAGCATATATAAACTGGCATATCCTTTAGGAAGGGTAATTAAACAGATAACTATGCAAATTAAAGTGCACAGCCTTCTCCCCTCCCCAGGCTCCTCCCACACTTGGTACACAGTGTCACATCATGCTAGCTTTCTCTGGTCAATAGGCAGGGAGCAGAATTAATATGTGCCTTTGAACAGAAATATTTAATTTCCTGTTTCTCTCTCTCTCTCTATCTCTTCCCTGCTACAGCAACAGAGGAGGCCATGAGTTACAGATGGAGCAGCTATGAAATAGTTAAGCCTCCATGAGCAACCTGGGCCTCTGAGGGACTAAGTGGGTAAAACATCCTGCTCAATAGTGTTGGATATGTAGTATGAGTGAGAAATAAACCCTTATGTTAAGCCACTGGGGGCGGGAGGAAATCTGTACAAACCCTTGACCCAGCAATTTGACTTCTGAGCATCAATCCTGAGTGTACAACCAATTCTAATGGGAAAAAAATTAAAATGGACTCTAGGTAATTGCCTATCAAAGGAGAATGGTTAGATGATAGATCAAGAGAGAGCTATATATCTTGATATACAGTATGATCCCATTATGTTAAAATATGCATATGAAAATATATAAAGGTCTAGAATAATCCACTGTTAGCTGTCTATAGGTAGTGCCTTTCTTTTTTTTTTTTTTGAGTTGAAGTCTTACTCTGTCACCCAGGTTGGAGTACGGTGGCATGATCATGGCTCACCACAGCCTCGAACTCCTGTGTTCAGGTGATCCTTCCACTTCAGTCTCCTGAGTACCTGAGACTACAGACACACTCCACCACCTGGCTAATTTTTTGTGGGTTTTTTTGGTAGAGATGAGGTCTTGCTATGCTGCCCAGGCTGGTCTCGAACTCCTGAGCTCAAGCGATCCTCCCATCTCAGCCTCCTAAAGTGCTGGGAGTACAAGCATGACCCACCACTCCTGGCCTTGCCTAATTATTAACAATGGTTTGCTCTAAGGTAGGAAGTGGGCACAAGGGAAGAGGCACAAAAAAGTTCTTCAATTTTTATTCAAATTCTTCTACATCACTTAATTTTTTCAATGGACATCATTTGCATAGTATCTGTACCACTATTTTTTTTTAGACAGCAGGACTTATTGAGAGGACAGAAAAAGCTCCCACAGTGGGAGGGGACCCAAAGGGGTTGCCCCTAAAATTAACAAAATTCCTATATTAAAAGATGACCAACTAGAACATATAATGGGAAAAAATGAGCACCTTTCAAAAAGCGACAAAAAACCATTAAATTGCAAATGTCAATTTTCACAAGAAACAATGGAAAACTGTAAGATAAACCACAAACTCTTCTGAGATATTTTAAAGGGCTTAAATGAAGGGAGCTGTGTACCGTGTTTCTAGATGAGAAGTCTCCGTACATTAAAGATGTTGGTTTGCAACAAGCTGATCGATAACTATAATGCATTTACAATCAAAATCCCAATGAGTCCACTTTCAGAACTTTACAAAATGATTCTCAAGTACCTCTGGGAGAATTAAAGAAAAATAGCCAAGAGATTTTTGAAAAAGAAGAATAATGAGGAGGTACTTTCACAATTATGTAATAAAATATAATATAAAGCCACTATCATTGTGACAGGAAAAATCAATCAACTGAGCTAGAGAGAAAGCCTGAAAACATCCTTCATATAATAGGAGATAAAATCGGTAACCAAAGAGCATGAAAATTCAGTGCCAAATAGAGGAACTATTGGATAGGTAGCATTGGGACAATTAAGTAGGAATGGAGCAAGAAGTGAACCCTCATTTTCACAACAGATGAATCAGACTTTGGGGTTTTTTGAAAATTAATTCCAAGAGGTTTCAAGAGTCAGAGAGCCTAAATACACACACATACACACTCACACACACAACTATGAAAACCCAAAGAAAACAAGAAGATGGATGGCCATCTCATTTTCAGTTGAAAGATATCCTAGGCTAAGACTTCAGTAAATGCTTGCTTGACTCAATTGTCTCTCTGAGATGAAGGGTCCTCAATCTGAAAGCCCACCAGGGTAGAAGGGAGCACAGAATACATAGGAGAGAGCGTGGCCATCAGTTTCCTCTAGCAGCATGACTGCTATCACCCTCCTTTTGGTCCATTTTTGCCTTTGTGTAGTCTTCCTTAAGCAAGACCATCCCTGATGGCCAGGTGGCTAGGACCTTCCTGTCTTCATTTTGAAGAACTTTGGGCAGATACTAGTGTCATCAGGACACAAGCTCACTGCTCCCTCCCCTCCCTCTGAACTTTCCTTTTGTGTCAAGTTTTCGTGAGGACCCACTGCAACCTTCTGGCAAGCCCATCTGCTTTCTGGAGTGTTCTAGAAGGTTCTAGAAGGGCCCAGATGGTTACTACTCAACTCTGCCCTTGTAGTGTGAACACAGCCATAGACAATACATATGCAAAAGTGACAGTTCCAATAAAACTGAATTTATAAAAACAAGCAATAGGCCAGATTTGGCCTGTAACCACAGTTTGCCAATCACAATGGTATAACCTCTTCACTCTGTGGTTTATCTATTCCTCCTCTTTTTATTTATAAATATCACAAAGTCTTCCTTCAAGTTATCCCATCATTTATCTACTGGGGGAGGAGGGAAGCATATATTGACCATTTATTGTTTGCTGAACACTGTGAAAGGCATTAGAGGGGTATACGCTGAACATCATAGACATGGAACCTAGCAACCAGTGTGGAAGACTCATGGAAAAGTGCTCATTCTTCTCTGCTCTGAATCTTTCCCTCAGGATTAACACATAAGTCCCAGTCACCAAATGGTTGCATGTCCACATGAAGAGCTACTGAAACTGCAAAAAAATTTAAGAAGCATAAATTAATGGCATTCACAAATTGTCCCTTGGCAGCAGGCCTATTAACCTACCGAAAAGCTCAAAAGGTTCGTAAAAACTGAGTTCCCCTCCATCCTTTCACCAGAGAGCTCAAAATCAAGAGAGCAAAGCTGGACCCATCCTTTCAATGCTGGTGGTTAAGGACTCAAGATAAACCTTAACCTGAATCTGGGCCTCCACCAGAAAAGACCATAATCAAACCATCCTAGCCTCTCTAGGCCCCAGTTCTCCCAACTGGAGACTAGGAATAATAATCAAATTATCATACATTGCAAAGATCAAGTAAGTTGATGTTCGGAAAGAATTCACTACCGAGCCTAGCTCCCAGTAAACAATTATCAATGAATTACCAATCTAATCACTTAGGACAGCCCAAAGAAAACTATCCCCTCTTCCTTTGCAAAAGTAATTCACAAGGATACCAAAACTGCTCCACGAGTTCACAGAAAATGCCAAGAAGAATAAGGTTGAAGCAGGGGACCACCTGGAACAAGGAAGAAAGTGATGGAAACAAGGAGTGAAGGAGAGGAAGGTTTGAAGCTGCCCACTTCCTGTCCACAAGTTAAGTGAGACCCTAAGAGAAGCTGGTCTCTGATTCATGAGAACAGGGGTGCATGTCAGAACAGTCAACTTCTCAACTACCTGACTAAAGGACTCAGTTGAATCACACCTACAGACTTGTCTCCCTGCCTATAAAATGAAAGTTGGGAATGGAAGCAGAGGTTTTTCACTGTGTTCTGGGAAGTTCTACAGATCCATAAAGGCATCAGAAGTCACCTCGGAGCAGTAAGGATCAGTGAATAGCCCTTGTCCAGCTCTGCTCACCCACAGCCAGCCCCCTTAGATTAGGTACAGCCTCAAGGTTCTGCCTAATACTGAATTTGGTGCTAAAAAGAACATTTTTAGATTTTAAAAAATGCAAAAATCCTTGAACAAGATAATCCTTATTCAGAGATCTTTCTGGAAGTCTCCTTCTGGTTCTATGATTTTAAAAGCCCCAGCTGAAAAAGCAGCATCAAGTGGATCAGAACATGCAGCTTCTTCTGGATGGCTTCACCAAACTCCAGATGCTTTCAGTGCTGTCATTCTGAATGTTCAGAGCCAAGACTTAAGTCGTAATCATTTCCTAGTCTTTAACACAATTTGTGTTGTACAGAAGAATTCCTGTTTGTAATAGAAAAGCCAACTCCAACATCCAGAGAGGCAACCTCATAAAGTCCGGGGAACACAGTTTATCGGAACCCTGACTCAGGTCAAGGGTTGGAACAAGGAGGCAGTAATACAGGAGTTATGAGTATTTCATCACTGTATACTGGGACAATTCCAATAAGAGACCATTGATGCTTCTTAAGCCAGGGGCCCCCAAACCCTGGACTGCACAGCAGGAGCTGAGTGGCAGAGTTGATGTACTTCATTTGTACAGCTGCATCTGGTGACAGGCTTTACGTCAGAATCCAACACTAAATTTAGTCTGTGCATGGCCTGCCCATTATTTTATTTACCACTTCTGCCCACATCTCTTTTTTTATGGTGAGTTGTATAATTATTTCATTATATATTACAATGTAATAGTAACTGACGTGACGTACACAATAAATGTCATGCGCTTGAATCATTCCAAAGCCATCTCCTCCACCCTGGTCCATGAAAAAATTATCTTCCACAAAACCAGTCCCTGATGCCAAAAGGTTGGGGACCACTCTCTTAAACCACAAGATTTTTTTCTCTCCAGGAGGGTGCCAGGTTATTGAGGTTAGAGCACCTTAAGATTATACAGAAAGCACAGCAAGATGGTTTTTTAACCAGCAGAAAGGGTCAAGAATCAAACTCCTCGAGGCTGGGACAAAGATGACACTCTTCCCGCCCCTCATGTCCCATGGAATGTTGTGGAGGATGTCAGGTCACTGGAAAAATCCAGGACTGGTATGGGAGGATAGGGGGAAAGTCACATTTACCCAACAAGAATTGGAAACATCACATCCATTATCTTGGTACAACCTCACCACTCCCTCTAAGGATACCAACACCATCCCATTTTGAAGATGAGGCTCAGAAAGGATTTCCATCAATGTCCCACCCAATTGCAAAGGACATCACTGTACCCAATAGGCAATCAATAAATATTAGCAGCTGGCAGTCATACATCCTTTTAAAAGCAAATAAATAAATAAAAGGCACAGGGTTTTTTTTAAACTCATAAATGGAGGGTAATAGAAGACCACTTTATAGTTCAAGTTGTAGTTCTCAGTTCCCAAGTATAGAGACAGAGTGAGCAGGAATCTGGTAATGACAGAATCTTTACTATAAAGTAAAGCTGATGCAATCCTTATAAAAATTATTTTAAAATATAAAAACTGTTTATCATGAAGCAATATGAGGCAATTACCTATCTATGTTCCCATGTTTAACTACAAAGATAAAGATGTCCTTCTGGCAACACAGCTCCTGTTTGCAAATTGAACAGAAGCATAAGGCACCAAACAAGAGGAAATACTAATAGAAAAGCACAGGCAGTACTGCTTTCACTCACTTTGAAAATACAGATTTGTTCCCACACAATTGATATATTAGGAAATAATTTGAGCATAATGCAAATTTTGTGTTTGCTTGTGCACAATTTCGTCCACGAGAAACACTAGGTGAAGGCAGAAAGCTGCACCTACGTGGTCTGAGTCATGTAGGAATATACCCCACACACACGTGCGTGCGCATGCACAAACACACACACACTCACACACACACACACACACACACTCACACACACACACACACACTCACACACACACACACACACACACACACAAGCACCTCAAATACCAGACGGCTTAGTTCACCAAGTGTGTTCTGGGACACACCCATCCACAACTTTAAGACTACCCTCTTTCATTTACACTATAATTCACCAGCCTCATACCTGTTCCCACAGTCCAACTTTCAGTCTTTTACACTGTAAAGTGTCATATTTATTGTAATACTTGTAAGCTTTTTTAGTCATTTAGCATATACAAAACTGTGCTACCTTCCTTTCTTTTTTTTACTATGCCACTGACAAAATTTTTGAGTGTTGTACCCAACTCTACTTTTTCCATAAGCCCTTGGGTTTTTTAATTGTGTGATTATAGACAACTCAGTGACTTTTATCCTAAAATACCCAAGTCACATTATAGCAGAACTTACTGCTAAATGTTCTTCCAAGGTTTATTTAGTTTTTACGGGAAACACGCAGCACCATGAATTGGTACAACCTTTCCAGCAATCATACAATATTTTCCAAGTTATGTCCATATCTGTGGATGAAGTATTTCTAGGAAACTTACCCTTATGACATAATTCAACAAGCAAAAGAAGACAAGATGTATGTGTTCACTGTGACACTGATGTGTTTGTGTACACATGTGTAAAGTCACCAAATATTATAATTAGAAAGACTATGTAACCAAATAGTAAACGACTAAAATATATCATTCAGTGAAAAGGAAATTAAAATGTACATAAACTGATAAATAGAATAAAAACAGACTCGAAGGATGACAATATTATTATTTAAAGGTGATTTCTTTTACATCTTGAAAAAAATGCCTTAATGTTCTAATACTGCTTGTATACACACACACACAAACACAGAGCTATGTTTAAATTTTTTAAAAAGCCAAGCCACCAAGAAGCATTTGAATATGCTAATTTTCAGTTTTGTTAAAAATCAGAAATAGTTCTTCACTGCATATCATATATCCAGCACACTATTTATTTCAAGATGTGAAGGAAGTAATTTGAAATTTTAGTTTCGTGAATACATATTTTTGTAACAGTACAAATCTGAATCCTGAACTACAGCTGGTTATCTTCAGTTCATCACTAAAACTAATTTTCAGCCCTGCTGCTTGCTGTAAATATGGAAATTGTATAAGATGTGTCTGTCACTGTTGCAGGTTTCATAAGATGTGTTCCTAACTGGGTGCATGCTCTCCTTTTGCAATGTGCAAACATGCAGCCCAAAACATACCAAGAAAGTAAAGGTTTTGTTGGATGACTGGCAAATTGGACAATGCGTGCGTGAAGACTGTTACTGGGTGAAAACTAGGTGGGTAGGTTTGTTTGAAGACAACTTTCTGGACAAACCAGATGGCCAACAGGAAGTAGGGCATCTTCATGTTCGCTAAAGGGAACCACCCAATGGATTCTGTGAAAAATATAGAGTCCGTATCTCAAGCCCTTTGTGTCAGAGGCTCCAAATCAGCCCAAGCTCCTACTGGGGAAACCAGACATTGAGAACTCATGTAGGGACAGACACACCTGCGTGAACACCTGGGAGGGGGTCAATGGGATGGCCTGAATGCTTAACAGAAAGTCCTGTTTTCATTAATATTTCAAGTTAGTAAAAGAGTGTTTTTTTTTCATATGAAAGCGTTTTCTCCTCCTCTGAACACCCAAAATGCAGGGTGGGAGAGAGACAGGACTTGAGCTTTGGATCCTGAGAGTCCTAGGATTTAATTTGAGCCAATTACTATGTGAACCTCAGCAAATTACTTCACCTCACTGAGCTTCCCTTTCCTTTTCAGAAATTTAGAGACAACAATATCTCTCAAATGGTCGTCTGGAGGGTTAAATTTTTTTTAAAAAGCCACACACACACCTGATCCTAAGAGGGGCTTAATAAATACTCAGTGAATCTGAAGCTTAGTATTTCAACAACACACCTACCACCTATACTCCCAAACTTGAACCCTTGCTGATATCCCCAGAAAGAGCATAGTGCCCTGGTTGACCACACTCAACATGGCAATGAGTAATAAAGACTCCAGCAGGATCCTGAATTATCCCCTACCCAGTTACAGTGGATAAAGCCAGGTAGTTTGACCCACTGTCCAAGTCATAAGTATGGAGGATGATGAGGTAAGGGAGTAAGGGAAAGAACACATTCTAAAAATTATTCCTTCACACTGAAAAAAAAAAAAAAAAGAAAGAAATCCAAGCCACTGCTCATTGTGATTCAGTTGAATGCAATTAAATCTGTATATGTTTTAAAATAATGTCCAAAGAGTCTTTTAAAAATAACCACTTAATCACCTGGATACCATGCATAAAACCACTGGTGTCAATTACCACCGTCTGGTGTCCTTTGTGTGCCCTTAGAAGTCTTTCTTTAGTCCATTCATTAGTAGCACGACAATACTGGTCACTGGCTCCTCTCCACATCAGTTGGCCCCTCCTGTCTCCCTGCTGTCTCACCACCACATTCAAGAAACTGAGTATTTGTAGACATGAATGAGGCAAAAACGATCCCATGCCCAACAGCAGAATGGAGCAGCGACATCTCCCTCCACCACCTGGGAGAAGGTGAGCGGCTTTGGAGAAGTCAGGGAGGAGGTCCGTAGGTCTGAACTATGATGTGTAGAAAGGGAACCCACAATGGCCCTGTGAGGAACATATGGTAACGCAGTCCCGAGCTATGGTGCACAGCTCTGGGATGAATGGGAAATGGATGGTTGAATGAAAATGCCATCAACAAAAGAGACTGTGTCCCAGTTGCCACCAGACGTATCACCATCTGATTCATGTAGGATGTACAGCTGTCTCTCAATTTAAAGCCCAGCCCAAAAGGGCACCAGCCTCTTTGGTAGCAAATGTAGACTTTCTGCCAACACCTAACAGAAGGGATGGCAAGAGGAGGAAAGTCGCACAGATATGCATAGCCAAGTGCGCCACCCCAGGTTCAAGGAATGGCTTCATTCATGGAGTGTTCAGCTGCAGACAAGAGCTCTCCATGGTCCTCAGCAGACCTACTTGCTTGTACAAGAGTACCTCTTCAAGGACAGTGTGTTTCTGGAGGGTATGGACCGTGATCTATTGAGTTCTGTGCCTTTTTCTAACTCTCTTCCTGCTCATAATGCTCCATCCATGTAATATCTGGTATAATGTAGACACTCAGAAAGTGCTATGTGATGGAGAGATAAATCCTTGGATGAATGGGAAGCTGAATGAAGTTTCTAAACAGGCTATAAGGGGTTGTGGGTGCAGTGCACTGTGGAGAGAAGTCTGAAGTCACTCTGGCAGATGACTCAATCAGATTGTCATGTGCCCTTTGTGGACAAACACCCAGAAGCTTAGCACCATTTTTTAAGTTATTATTAAATACAATGGCCTTTCAGAGATACTGCTGCCACAGTCATGGATGCACTCTGGATGTTTCATTTGGATATTTAAGCTTAACCCAGAGCTCAAAAGGTCCCTCTAAACCTTTAATTACCTTTGAACAGAGATTCCATGAAGAAGTTGATACAATCTTCTCCACCAGCCTATAGCTGGGCATGGCTATTTCACAAAGATGGTCACATTAATAACTCCCATCTTTTCACAATGCAATCTTGTCCCTCCTCCCATCAAGTGGCAGGGTCTATGTCCTATTCCTTGAAACTAGTGGTGAGACTGTGTCGACCAGCAGAGTTTGTGGAAGTGATCCTATGTGATCTTCATAGCTATATCACAAGTGCCATTTATTTCCATTGCACCTCCTGGGATGCTCATTCTTGGAACCCAGCAGCCATGCTGTGGGGGATGCCCTGCCCACGTGGACAGACCACATGAAACAGGTGTTTCAGCCAACAGCACAGCTCAAGTCCCAGCCAGAGCTAGCATCAACCACCAACATGTGAGTAAATTTGCTCAGTGGCTCAGCCTGTAATCCCGCGCCTTTGGGAGGCTGAGGTGAGTGGATTGCCTGAGCCCGCAGGTTCGAGACCCACCTAGGCAACTTGGCAAGAATAAATCTACAATAAATCAAAACATTAGCCGGGAGTGGTAGCGCATGCCTGTAGTTCCAGCTACTTGGAAGGCTGAGGCGGAAGGATCGCCGGAGCCCAGCAGGTCAAGGCTGCGGTGGCTGGGAGCGGCCACTGCACTCCAGTCTGGGCAACAGAGTGAGACTCCAATTCAAAAAAGAAAATTTTGCTTCCAGATGATTCCAGACTCCAGCCTTCAAGTCACCCCAGCCTTCAGGTCTTCCCAGCAGAAGCCCTAGAGACTATGGCATAGAAACAAGCCATTCCTACATTCACTGTCTGAATTCATGATCCACAGAATCTATGAGCATTATAAAATGTTTTTACACCATTAGTGTATGGGGTGGTTTGCTTTGCAGCAACATAAGCTGGAATACTAGAACTAAAGCGTTGTCCCAAAACCCAGAGCACTTAGCTTAAGCCTTGACACTGAGTTCATCTTGTTATCCCTAAAACTGGGGCAGGGATAGGGTGGGGGAAACTTTTTCCTCCTGTCTCATTAGATACCTTTAAGGGTCTTACTAGCTAACACCAATAAATCAAGAGAAAAGCTAGAAGAGAGGATTCTGAATGTCCACAACACAACAAAATGATAAATGTTTGAGGTGATGGATGTACCAATTGCCCTGATTTGGTTATTATGCATTGTGTACATATGTAGAAATATCTCTCTGCAATTCCATAAATATGCACAACTATTACATGTCAACTAAAAATAAAATAAAAAATAAATAAAAATTTAAAGGTTAATCAATCAAAAAGCCACTGTCCACCTGACTGGTTACCCACCATTTATACATCTGTTCTTGTGTAGCCTGCATTCAGGCTTCACTGGATTTGCCACAAGTTCAAGTCACCTCTCTGCTTCCCCAACAGTCCTGGCCTATATACCATGCCAGCCACAAGTTCAGGTCATTCCTCTACTTCCACAACAGTCTTGGTCCATACCATGCCAGTAAATCTCACACTGATGCCAACCTGGGAACCCTGATAAGAAATACCATCCCCACATTCCACACTCAATCCAACTAACTCCAAGGCTCACATGAGGCTGCTCAGTGAAAGGATAAATTAGTCCCCAAATAAGCTATCATTGCATTTCATCAAAAGCTCCATGTTCCCAGACCAAATAAAAAGTGAGCATTTCCAACACACCTTTAGTGGACCAGACAGGCAGATTTGACAAAGCAGGATCAATATAGTGTTTCAATCCATCCCACCACATGGGAGGGAGCCTGAGTCTCAGACCATGTCCAGAGCCTGAGGAGGCGCTCAGGATCAGAGAAGAATCCCAAAACAGAAACATCAAAGACACTGAAGGGGTGGTTAAGCTCGTGCAAATAAGTGGACAAGACTTAGTCACCTGGAGGAGATACTGAAATGAGATCAAAGTAAGTGGAACTGCAGCAGGGGGCACAAACTGGGCTAGGAATGCAGTCTAAGCCATGACCCTACCTATGGCCATGAGGAACAGCAAAGAGGAAGAAAAGTTGTGTCTGGCTCAGGCCCTGATGTAGACTCCGGAGTACATACTGTAATCCTGTATCCCTGGCATTGGCTTGAGAATACAGGAATCCTTGTGGGACTCTGAGTCATGAATATATCATAGTTGGCAATGACTGAGTGCTTTGAAAGAACACAACCACCGCCAACACCCCAACTCAGCCAGTTATCCAAGGGAAGTAGCCATTCTAACAGAGAGCCCTCATCCTTACCGTCCACATCCAAGACCTCCAATTTTCCCCCTGAATCTCCTTCCAAGTCATTTATAGACATTCACGGTTATCCACTGGCAATGCCCCAGTATAGGCCACCAGCAACTCACAGCCACCTCTAGAGGGAAATCCCCATTCCCCTGGCCTCCCTCCCACCAATCTCTTACTCCAGAGGGATGTTTCCTTTTTTCATAATGAAAATCTGATTATGTTCCCCATTCCCTCTCCTTGCTTAAAACTCTCCAACACTCCCTATTGCTCATAAGAGAAAGTGCAAAACCCTTAACATGGCCCTGCACAGTTTGGCATCTCCTGCCCTTTCACCCTCCCATCTCTTCTTTACTCTAGTTCCAACCTCTTATCCATGTCCCCAACTCTCATCTCAGTGCCTGGCCCTGGCACTCTGGGTGCTACTTTCCTTACCCATCCCTCTTCCTCTAATGTCTACCCACCCCTTAGATGGAATAAGAAGCGGATTCCAAGACGGACTTCCTGAGCTCAAAGGGCAGCTCTGTTGCTGACCTGAGGTTACGCCCTTGGGCAGAGGTCTAAACTTCCATATGCCTCAGTTCCTCACGGGGATGATAATCATTCCTCCTTCATGGTGTCATTATGAAGATGAAGAGTTAACACGTGTAAATCAGATTAAAATAATTGTAACCAGGCCTAGCACATAAAATCACTCAGTAACTCTTAGTTTCTTATTCTTATCTCAGCTCAAATACTACTTTGGCAGAAAGAAGCCTCCTCTGGGGTTCCCCACATTAAGACTCCCTCATTAAATGTTCTTTCCTTTGAAGTACTTATTGTATCATAATTATATATCCTTTAGTAGGATTACTTGATTAGTATACGTCCCCACTACTAGTCACAAGAGTACATGTATGGTTTTGCTCACACTATATGCCAGGACTTGCCACAGCTCCCAAGATGGTTGGATGAATGATTGTACAGATTGATAATTGATGTCCGGATGGATAGAGATTAGACGGATGAATGATTGTATACATGGATGATTGAATGGGTGGGTGGGCAAATAGATGGATGGATGAATGGATGGATGATTAGATGGATGATTAGATGGATGAATCATGGGTTAGATGAATGTGGATGAAAGGATGATTGGATGTATGATGGAATAGATGAATGGATGGATGAATAGGTATATGATTGACTGGATGGATGGATGGATGGATGGATGGATGGATGGATGGATGGATGATTATATAGATGGATAACTGGATGGATGGATGATGGATAAATGGGTGGGTGGAGACTGCTCAGATGATACACAGTGTGGTCACTAATCACTCTCACTATACAGCCTTAGGCCCAGCAGCTTCACCTTCAGAAGCTACCCAGAGTCCTGGACTGCTCGTATGTCTTCTATGAGATCTTAAGATCTATTTCCCACCTCATTATTTTTCATGAGTTCCATCTTAGAAAAAGACAACAATGGGGCTAGAAGGGGCAGGATTTCTTGATGGTAATGAAATAAGACACTACAAAGACATTACAATGAACACAGCCACCACCAGAAGGGAAGGTTGGTGGAGACAGAGGTAACATGTCCTGGGGCAATGGAGAGCCCAAGTCCTCTTCCCAAGATTCCACCAGGGCAGTTTCTAAGGAGGCTGCTTCACCTCTTTAGGAGCCAAGAAGATAAAATCACTGTGGCAAATAGGAGATTGAGCCAGACATCTTCCCAGGCCTCCTCCACTATCTGGGAGGCAACAAGTGTTCATGCGACCTGCCAGGGATGTAGAGCAGTGAAGTGGAAAGACGAAGCATCTGCCCTTGGGAAGCTAGCCAGGATACATAAAAGATAGACAGGAAATAAATAATTAAAATAAATGATTAATTAACTCTATGTGGTCAAAGTACAATGCATACAAAATAAACACTGAAGGGAGGGTGGGACTCTCCATCACATACTAGAAATTCCCTGGCATGTAAAATGTGACATGGCTCTTAAAACAGTTATCCCACGTGGCTTGTGGAGAAAAAAGAGGAGCACACTGAGCAGGTCTGTTTCTAATAAGTTCCTCCGTTTGCAAGGTCAAGCGTGCTGCTATGAGGCACATTCAACATGCATCTGTTGTCTGGCTCATGCGGGGTGCTTTCCCAAGCACTGTTACTAAATATCCTGACAAACTCAGGAGGGGTTATTATCCCCACTTTCCAGATGTATCAGCTGAGGCAAATAAGAGGAGTCAAATAAGACTCCTAAAGTCACATGGCCAAGCCAGGAACAAAACCTAAGACTGCTCTTTCTGCTATTCTGCTATACCAGGCTGTGTAGGGAAGAAGTGGGTTTGGTTTCATCTTGACAGCTGTGTAGGGAAGAAGTGGGTTTGGTTTCATCTTGACACAAAATTGAAAAATGAATTTAAAATAAAACATTAATGTACAATCTTCATTGTCAAGATACTCTGCTAGTAAAACTCCTGACTTCTTTAAACATGAAAGGCAAACTCATACAGTAGTTAAAACCAAGCTATAACCTTACTGTCATTGCTGTCATGAAACTAAGTACCTTATATTCACAATCCCATTTAATCCTCAGATCAACTCACTGAAGGAGAAGTTAAAACCATCGTACCTGATTTAAAGATGTGAAAACTGAGGCTTTGAGAGTTAAAATGCTTACCTAAGGGCCAGGAGTTGAACGCAAGCCTGCCTACTGTAGTGCCTGAGATCGAATCACCTCACCATATGAAACAGAGCTGACTTACTGCTCCATGACGAGGCAGGCTGGATGGCGGCCAGGCTTAGGAAGTAGAATTGGCAACTATGGGAGAAGAATGCAGCTGAAGGAGCTGGAAGTCCAGTCTAGCAAGTGTAACCTGACACGAGCAGCAGATAGTAGGTGATGTTAGAACAAACGTGGGTCATGGGATGGAGAACCCAGAACAGTAGCCCAGAGGGCAGCATCAGGAAAGAAAGGTAAGAAAGTTCCAGCAGCCATACCACTTACTTGCCTGTCCAGGTAAGAAAGTTCCAGCAGCCATACCACTATAAAAGACAGAACCTCAGTCCCTAAGAAAGGCATTGATAAGAGCAAGGGAGGGCCTGGGGTCTAGAGAAACCGGGAGGCTACTAAGAAGGCAAAGACTTAAGGCCGGGAAACAATGCAGGGATCCAGGAAGCACAACCAGGAAACTAGACAGAATTATTCTTGGCAACAAGACCAAAGTTGTCAAAACTAGAGCATGACTTTTGGACTTAACAACTTAATGCTCCCAGAGAATTGGGCAGGAGCTCTGGAGACTCCCAAGGGACTCCTTGGAAGAGAACAGTACCGGTTCATTCCTTCACAAATGTTGATTGAACACCTGTTATGTATCTGGCCTGGACTAAGCCCTGGAGATTGAGCAAGAAGCCCTGATCATTTGCATGAACTTGATTTTGAGTATCGCTAGATTGGTCTCAGCTCTGCAGGTAGTGCCTGCTTTTCCAACATGGGGACTAGACAACAACTCAAAATTGAGACAAACAAGTATCTGTACCTCAGGCCACTAGGGGAAAACAATTTAGGCCACCTGAGACCCCAATTCTGAACCCCTATGTTTTGTCATTTCTCCTATGAACCCAGACACAGTGACAGGAAACAAGGAGGTTGTCCCTGCCAAGCTTCACGCTGTGCAGTCATGAAGACAGGAAGCACCTTGCTTGCAGCTTGTGTCTGTCTGTGCAGAGATGATGACAATAAAATCAGCTTAAGGGGAATCAGAGACGTTGTCAGGGCCTGCCTTGGTCACCTTCTCTCTCACGCAGGCCCTCGCCTAGCATCTCTGCACCCAAGTCCCATTAATTTGGGAAGGGTTTTAAAAGTATCATTGATATTCCCTGTGGCTGGGTCATTTCCCAATGGCTATTGCCTCTCCCATGCCTAGACACTGTAAAGCCATCTGCCTTTAATGACAGAGAAAACAAAACTTAGGCAGAAATGGACAGGTAAAGAATCAGAGTTTGTGCTAGGTGTGCTCACACCTGTAACCCCAGCAGTTGGGAAGGCCAAGTTGAGAAGATTGCTTGAGGCTAAGAGTTTGCAACCAGCCTGGGCAACACAATGAGACCTCATCTCTACAGAATTTTAAAAATTAGCTGGGCATGGTAGTACACACCTGTAGTCCCAACTACCACTGCACTCCAGCCTAGGCAACAGAGCAAGACCCTGACTCTAAAAAATAAAACAATTAATAAGGGTGGGAACAAAACAGTCTGAGCCGTCTCCCACACCCTGACATTGTACAACATCTACACAGGCCCAGGAAGGAAACTGACTCCAGCTCGTTCAGAGGTGCCCTCTCTCAGTTCCCCTCATGACTCCCCTCTCTGTGGACATGGCTGGATTCCATGCTGGGTCCCGGAAGATGCCAACAGTCAACTGAACTCTAAATGCCAGAACACCAATGAAGCAAAGAGACAAAAACTTGGCACTGGGCTCACCCATGCAGAGTTAATGACAACCCCTGCCATGACCATGAATAGTCACCATTTAGTGCCTGATGACCATACAGTGCAAAAACAACCCTTGCTTATAAACACCTCTGACGAACCTTGCCATCTGTTCATTAGATGCCCCTCCCCCCAACAGGAAATACTCTGGAAATAAATGTGTGCTCTTCTACAAAAGCAGGGAACATTGTTCTCAGCTGAAAACCTTTTAAAAGTTGAGAGTGTTCCTCCCAGAAGTGTCTACCCCACCTATCCTTTCAACGTGGCTTCTGAAACAGATGTCACTGCCAGGAAAATATGGCCCTGGCACTTATTCCTGGGATTCAGGATGCACTTTCCTCTTGAACCAATGCATAAATGAAGAGAGGCTGCAGCTGATACTCTACTCATTACTATGATCATTCAGCAGCATTCATGACTGAAGACTTCAGAGGGCTGGCCTGGGAAGTCAGCTACCACTTGTAATGTTTCTGGTTTAAAAATAAAGCCTGAGAGCCAACCGCTTTAGACACTGGGCATGTGTGGTTGCTGAAAGGCTTTCTTTAGCGTCACAAATGGGGTAACTTACCTTAAATAAGAGAATAGACTAAAATAACCAAA